TTTTTTTTTTTACCTTAGCTTTTATTATATATATAATAAGTTGTTATCCTAATAAGTTTACCTGTAAACAGCACTGAGACGCTAGTGTAGTGCGGTTTTAAGAAATAAATATTATTATTATTATTATTATTATTAACTCAGAAATGGGGGTGGAGAGGGAAAATGCTCGCAATTTGATATACTCTATAAAAGAATCTTTTAGCAAAACAAATGAACAAGTTTATAAGCAAGTTCTTGGTCAGGTTTCGAGACAGAGGCCAGCAATTTGGTGAAAAACCATGTCTCTTCACTTGGTAGCATGAAAATTGGCACCTTTGTAGAGAACGGGATTCCGAGCAATTTCGGATTTCTAAAAATAAACAGTGTATCCACAATGTGGCCGCTACAAATACCGTTTCGAGAAGAAATTTAAACCACATAGTTTTGTAATGGCTCACGATATCATTTAATAGTCAGAAATTAAAATACCATGGTTTGAATGAAGAATCAATATGTAGTTATTTACGTGTATAAGATCAAAACGGCCCCCAAAAGAATAAATAGCAGTCCACTAATTCAAGTGTGAATATTTTTGGTTATGCTTTCATCAGCTTTCTCAGAATTTGCGGGAAACCATGCATACCTCATGTATAGCCATCTTGTGTGCATTTTGGTTTCACGCCTTTAATTCCCTGTATATAGTTTGTCCTTTCAAAGAAAAGAATTTAAAAAAAAATATCATGTCCAATTTGCCATAAATAATTTTCTTTAGCATGCTGTTTCTTTTAGCAGCCGTTTTGAAAATATGTGTGAAAACAGAATTTTCAGGGCATACTATAGCCATGTTTCATAATTATGACATTTTTGTCCATTCAAAAACTTCACCATTAAATTATCATCTAGATACCACAAGTGAGTTTTTTTTCCTGCATCTAATTATTCAATAAAGCAACTATCTTTGTGCTGATTTAAAACAATGAAAAAACCCTCCGAAGTATAAAATATTGGCGTTTATATTTTTGTCGTTTTAATGTGTAAGCATAGGCAACTCAAAGCTTTAATTGTCAATTTAACACCTATTTTAACACTATTTTGACTTTTTTCTATATTTAACACTATTTTGAGGTGAGGTAGCAATCGATATGCGCTTGCCGTAACTTCAGCCCTGAACAAGATTTTATCATGAAAATTGGCAGAGTTGACCAGGAGTGTATATGCTACAATCCATTAATGTCATTCTGGTTTAAATGTTTTTGTTATTGAGTTATGCGTCCCTTATTACAGATTTTCATTAAACAATGACATTAGTTTGTTTTATCGACGATAAAATCTGTACTAAGACTTTAAAGAAAAATCGCTGGCAAGGTTTTGGAGTACTTAATGGTGTCATTAAGTTGGCGTTGAAATGGTGATCGTGGGTGCTCAGGTAAAAGAGAGATTTGATAAATCGATTTTTCAGTGTTTACCCCCAAATCGCAATTATGACGTGATCTGTAAGATGATATACATGTGTATGTGTAAATGTTAATTAATTTAGCCACTGAACACTGAAGATATATTTATTTTCCTAAAGAATGTATAAAAGGCAGTAGATAAGGAGTCTGGGACGAAGGGTGACCATATCCTTTAGAAATGCTTCTATAAATCAATGCGCTGCTCACAAGTTCCAAGCCCTTTTTCTTTTCCAATTGCTGAAACTCTGTACACATCGTACTAGTGAGATTTTCATTTCCCATTATTACAAAAAGCGAAGGTTTGAGTTTCTGTGTGGAAAGACGCTGTGTGGAAAGAGCTTGAAGTTGTGAAAGTTATTGGACAGTTACGAAAGGGCGAACGTCGTTTAACTTATTTATCCCAGCAGTGTGGGAAGGCAAAACCATGGGTTATTTAATGCAGTTTATTCTTACACCTAGAAGAAAAAAATTAACCTATTATGTCAAAGTTGCCAACGGAGAAAATAAACACACCATTAGCCACGTTCTGGCGCTAAGCCTTTCGCGTATGGAGCAATGTGGAAGCGGCGCGCATGTTAACAGTTTGAAGAAAGTTATTAAACGAACGGCAAGCATACCTCAGGTAATTGCTGCTATTACCGCCATGCCTAAATCGGTGACAAAATCTTCCTCATCAGACCTGTAAGTAAAAACAAAAAAATCTGAACGTTCTGCAAGAACAGCTGGAGTATACCTGTAGTCTATATTGTTGTGAATTAATATCTTTTTAAAAAAACCCGAATTCGAAGTCTTAATTCTCAACCGACAAAATTTTCGCGCAAACTTTGGATGCTATCAAACTATCATATTAAGTTGGTTTTTCAGACAGAAACTCTCCGAAACCACTTCATGCACAAACGTCGAAATTGAAGAATATTTTTTGACAAAGGTTCAAAAATAAATAGGTTTCTCAAAATCGAAATACTAACCGTATCGAGCACTTGCGGCATGGGTTGGGTCACATGGTGCAGATGAGATAGAATCAGCCCCCGAATGGTCTGGACTGACTCTGTCAAGGTAGAATGGGACGATAAAACATAAAACAGGTTTGTGAAAGGTTTTTATACGCGTACTGGAGTACAGTACCAGTTGTGAGAGATAATTACAGTAAGCGGTAGTAAACATTCGTGCAATTGGACACGTGTCTTGATGCTAATTGTGTGCAAATTTGGTGAATTGGGTGGTTTCTTTGCAGTTTTATGGACATGTTTTTACCTCTATGGCAATCACTGTAGAATGGGCTAAGGTGTACATATTTAAAATCTGAATAAATGATGAATATATGGGCGTCTACTCCGGTGCCTCTTTCTCTGTGCCGTAAGTCATGTTAGATATGAACTGGAATAAACAGGAATACATTTAACAATTTACAGACAGGATGTTATGATTCATAAAATAAACAAAGAAATCTTGTGTGTGACAGCCTTTTGATTAAGAGTACATGATAGCAATCGCGTATTTTTGCCTTAAATTGTCTAATGGATGGTCTCTCCTTAAAATGGCGACGCGTACTGCTAAGTTCTCTAATAAAATGTATACGGTAAACAAGGGATGTACATGTAGTTGTGTATATTTGACACAGCTAAGGATGTTCTCACCCTGTACCCGTGCTCTCTCTCTCTCTCTCTCTCTCTCAGACACACACCTGTCTTTCTCTCTCTCGCAGTCATACATGCACTTTTCTTTTCCTCCAATCTCTCTCTCTCTTTCATACACACACACACACACACACACACACACACACCTCTGTATTTCTCTCTCGCGCCCGCAAGCGTGCACCTTTGTTTTTCTCCTATCTCTCTCTCTCTCTCTCTCACACACACACACACACACACACACACACACACACACACACAGAGGCCAATGTGCCTCATATATGGATGTCGTGACAGTGTATACCTGGACATGGTCCATACAAATTTAAATTGCGGTCTACTTTATAGGGCGGTGACGTTAATTTACACAATAATCACCAGAACAGGCAACGCTAAATACATGCACATAAAATAATACAAATGACGTCAAACAACTGAATTATAGCATTATAAATTTTATTAACGGACGAAAAACCCATCCTATTGTCTCGCCCATATACCATATACAATGAAAATTTTATATTTGGCTTATGAATCTGCCTGTCGCATCATTTAAGAGTACTATTTATTTTAGAGCACTATTCTATTTCATTTTATTGATCATAAATTTGTATTTACGTCTAGTGTAAGCTCAATTTCATTTAAGACCATATTGTTTAAAATATGATGGCATATAGTCAGAAGGAATTTTTATTTTATTTTTTTACACCACTGACCCCTGCCAAAAGGATATGCCGAAACAATAATATATTCTAAAATACCGCATTAATTATTTTGAAATTAACAATTGTAATGTCTCTTGACAGCCATAGAGACATCATCAGTAATAGAATAACGCGCATAAATAACGTAAATATTAACATTCTTCTTACTTGAATATGTCGAGAGGAGGATAAAAGAGATGAGACGCCCCGTTAGACTATCACACTGCTTCCTGACCGTGGACGGGTTCACAGCTGAAAGGTAAGGAGCAATAGTTAGACTTGAACACTTGAGGCCTCTACCAGATATTTAAATTTACTGGGAAGTTCTCAATAGATGTTCTGTTTTAAAGACATAGAGGGTTAAGGGAAATAAAGTGTTTCTGTCCATTATTGATAAGGATATCGGTGTAAGGGGACATGTTTTTAGAAGATTGGATTGTGTTTTTACCTGTGATGAAAAAAATGTTAACATGATCTGATTTGATCTAAGCGCATATTCTGTACGCAATTAATAATGCTGATTTAAATAGAGAATGAGGAATGCTTCAAATCCAAGGTGTCCGTTTGGAAATCTTTTTTATTTATTTCTTTATAGTATGAGTACAATATTTCAGATAATATCAATGCAGCAGGTTTATTGCCTACCTATATTAAATAAAGTATTATTTGGATATTTGGGTTTTATTATTGGCGTTTCAGTTAAGTTGAAAAATAAAATTCAAATATTTTCCATACAAGCAGTCAGTTTTACAGGAAAGCAGATGGATTTTTGACAATAGATTTTATAAATTTTCTTTAGAAAATGGACGAAATCATAGTTTCACCTTCAGCGAAGACTGGGTAACATCTAAATATTTTTTATTATTATTTATTATTATTATTATTATTATTATTATTATTATATTNCCAAGGTGTCCGTTTGGAAATCTTTTTTATTTATTTCTTTATAGTATGAGTACAATATTTCAGATAATATCAATGCAGCAGGTTTATTGCCTACCTATATTAAATAAAGTATTATTTGGATATTTGGGTTTTATTATTGGCGTTTCAGTTAAGTTGAAAAATAAAATTCAAATATTTTCCATACAAGCAGTCAGTTTTACAGGAAAGCAGATGGATTTTTGACAATAGATTTTATAAATTTTCTTTAGAAAATGGACGAAATCATAGTTTCACCTTCAGCGAAGACTGGGTAACATCTAAATATTTTTTATTATTATTTATTATTATTATTATTATTATTATTATTATTATATTGATTTTTGGTTGGTTGATTGTTTGTTTGCCTATTTGTTTTTTTTTTTTTTTTTTCAGATCGCAATGAAGATCGTACTTCTGTGTCTAGCGCTGGTAGGCGCCACATATGCTCAATCTCACTTAACGAGGGGTAGGTACCAGTTGGCAAAAGTCGCTTCCGCCCTGCGATTGATCATTTAAACGAGCAGACCACCTTTTCATGCTCTAAGTAATGGAATGATACAGTTAATGAAGCCATATAAAGATATTCTGTTTTTTTTTATAATTATTATTTTATTTTAATAAATTTTAGAGGAAGCAAGGAGCCGATGCCTGGTTGACAAACCGAACGTGTCACAAGGTGTCGCCTACGTCGCAGATCTCGATTGCGCATTTTACTGGCAGTGTGACTTCGCCTATACCCTACTGAAAAATGTCACCCTAAAGCAGTGCGCCATCGGATCGTTATGGGCCTCCATGGCGTATCCAGCACCCCCACCGGCGGGCGAAGAAGCCGTTGTTTGTGTCAGCTGCGAGCTACAGCCAGATCAGCTATGTCGTGATAAGTACCTCCCCCTCGGGAAGACTGAACAGTGCCCCGTGTGTACGTATCATATCAGGTTACACTATTTCATAGTACCTACCAGTGTCACAAGGAGAATTGTTTTCATTATTCGCTCACGGAGATATCTCTGCCTATTCAGTGCCATTTTTTTTAGTATTGTTAGACAAAAAAAAATAATAATAATAGATAAAAATTACAAATGAAAAAACCGGCATTAAAACTCTGGTGTTTGGTAAGGAAAACATTCAAACCACTGACAACAAAAAAGGACTTCTGTGAACTTTCTTTTTATTATTATTATTATAATTATTTTTTAAGATAATATAATTGTGATGACTTTTTAAGATAAATAGTTTTTAAAAGAAAAAAGGATAACGCACTTTAGCTATATTTGGGTTTCCTTATAGCTTTTGAAACATATCGTTTAATTTGATTATTATCACATTTTGTCTTGGTGGAGGTTCAAGGTGTAGTGTGTTTTATCTATATTATATTATATTATATTATATTATATTATATTATATTATATTATATTTCAGATACAACGCCTCCACCAACTACAACGGAAGCACCACCACCCCTTGGAGATAGTAAGTTATTTCAATTGTCAGTTCATGAAGTAATAAGTTCAGGTACATATATAGTCATTAAGTGGGTATTTATATATGGGTATTTATTTGTCTGATATAGATACAAGCGCACAACTCTTTTATTCTAAGGGGTACAGCATCTTTCAGATGAAGATAAACTTACAGTTTTGGTCTTTAGATTTATTTCCAAAAATCTACGCTGATACTCAAGTGAATCAATATCCAGAAAGCTTATATTGAGAGCTTTGAAACATTGCCATGTGGGACAAGGATGGTAGTTCTAGGATTGGAAGTCCGAGGTTCCATATGATAAGTACAGAAAAGGTTTGTCGGAGTATTGGTGTTAGTATATGGGACGAATGTCACCTAGCTGGCAATGTTATGGGGAACGGACTACGGTCCCTATTGGACTACTATGCCTGTCACACCTGCGCCTTGATAACTCTAAATTTTGTCCGTGACGTCTCGTAAGAATCTAACTGAGGAACTTCTCCCCCCCCCCTTCTGTTTGATACTAATTCAATGTATTAGTGTTATGCATACCCGGTATATGGTGTCTGTAAGTATAGGCGGATTATTTTTCAATTTTTAAAAGTGATATATCCTTAATTTCAGAGAAGTGTACACTCATGCCTCAGAAATTGGCATACCAAGAAATTATAGGGGAAGAAAGCAAAGTATGGTACCTGAACGCGAATCAAACTGTTGACTGTGGACATCTTATCTTTAACTTTGACAAATGTATTTGTGACGGAAAGCGTAAGTTCTATAAATTTGTATTTCAACGAGTAATAAATTGATTAAGGATATACAGTAGTATTATCAATATTGGAGCATAACTACCTTTACAGTTTTTCATTTTAAGGGAGGGGGGACAGCAAAGAATTGGAACTGGTATTCATTTAACATTAAACACTATTCAAAATACACAAATATCAGATTGTTGTTATCGGAATTGCATCATGAACATTGTATCTCTATTTTTCACAAAATTTGATAAAATTTGAAGATATTCACCTCATTAAAAGGGAAAGAAGAAAATTTTATCTGAATTCATGTCTCCTAATATTAAAAAAATCTTATTGTGTTGCGTTGGAGAAATTGCTTTAAATCGCTTTCTTGTTTAGTTTGAATTAAACTCTGCGTCATTTGTTCGGATGATTAATAGTGAAGAAGTGAATTGAAGGTATATAAAGATTGATGTGTGATTTCATAAAAAAATTGGTCATTTTCTCCATGTTTTCATATGTGTTACTTCTACTATCATTTCAGCTGAGTTTCCAGGTCGGTGGAATTTTGATGTGAACTTGAACTCGGACAACAACAGAATTTACGCCGCCAATGAACCAGTGGGCACAGTAGGTTTGTCGGTAATAGAGCCAGGATGCGCCGAGTTTAACGGATCAGGTAAAAAGATGTCTCTATTTATTTATTTAGATATCATTTTGTTCATTTAATTATTAGTGACAGGTTTAGCTCGTTACTAATCAACTAATTTATTTATTTATTTTACTACTTGAACTATATTATACTATGCTATATTATAGTCCTTGTACAAATATAGTATACCTATTTTGACCTTTGCATTGATTTTCAATCCAACCCATTACTACACTTTGGTGTTTTCTTTTCAAGGCGGACTTCAAATTCCATACTTTAAAAACATGCGTCCTAGGTCGAGCTGGGTATCTGCTGTTGTGATTTCCAGAGATGGGTCCCAGAATGCCGTAATCCTGTACGAGTGCTTTTCCATCTTCATAAATGGTGATGAAGTCTCAGCGTCTGTAGTAGTCCAGAACCCCTTGGGCGAGCAGCAGACTCTGTCTGTCTCAGTTACTGTACGTTTATTTAAATATTTTATTTATTGAATTGTGTTATATGTTTTTGTTGTTCCTTTTACAATTTTAATCATTTAATTAGCAAAGTTGTAATTAGCTGTGCCGATTGCCATCTCTTATCTGTAATGCAGACGCGATCTTTTCAACTTTGTCATGGTTGGGACTTTACAATCTCAGACCAGGAGTCATAATTTCATGGGAGTACATTTATTTCAGTTAGTCACTGGTAGCGCAAAAAAAGCATTATGAACACCATAAAAACATTGCGTACACGCATATATTAAACAACAAATAATTAAGTAAATAAAGAGATGATTAAACCTCCTAGGTAAATCACTGATTTAGTAATTAATAGAAAACTGTGCATTAGTACGGTGTGTATTATTTCAGGCACCACCAGCTGGATATGCACTCGTGATCTTGAGATGGGACGGTAAAGTCTTAACTCTTACCCTAATTGACGATGGCATCGTGTACCAGGACTCTGCTCAAGTACTAGAAGGTAAATAAGCTTTAACAATTCAGTTATAACTCAAAAGTGATATCTAATTAATTAGTGAAGCTGCTCAAATACTAAGAAATTGCTCATAATAACAATATTAATAATAATAATAATAATAAATATTTTCTGCTCTGTGGGTATGCTGCTAACGAAGCCTCATATTTGTCATATACGTTTCAACATGTTATTTCAGATCCCGACAACGATTTTATATGGTCTATCGTTTGTTTACCACAACAACCTCTCTTCGTCGGTTACGTGCCATCAGATTACAACAAGCCAGGTCTCCCAGGAAGCTATTCTGGCAACATTTGTCTGGTGAGTATACACTGGCCATTAAGTCACTTTCAGACCCTTAATTGGCTTTGCTAAGGAATGGCGGGTGTAGGGTGGAAACACAGATCAAAACTTTCCGCGGGCGAAGCGAGATAAAATACAACAGTGACGAGATTTATTTATTTATTTATTTTTATTTTATTTGTATATTCTTCCGAGGTTAAAGGGTAACAGCTCTTCATATGTGATGTGACTCGCATTATTACAATAAGTGCATGTACTTTAAAAAAAATAAACTATGAACTGATTCATGAATTGTTGGAAGGTATTGCGTATTGCGTTATCAGGATTTTTTTTTTTTTTTTTTTTTTTTTTNNNNTTTTTTTTTTTTTTTTTTTTTGCAACAACGAACAATTCCTGAAAGGAGTTTGATAATTTGCACAAACCCAACTAAAGCCGATGAATAAATCCAAATATAAACAGTAGGATATGCACATGTTTCCTTTTCTTTAACATGTATTTATTTGTTTTCAGCTCTACTTTACCGACAAATTGTATGATAATGATGATGATGTAGAGGCCGATATCCGCCTTGATTACATTGGACCGCAGTGGTAATTATTGGTTGCTATCGATGATGACGACAGGCCCCCAGCAAAGCGAGAAGCGGTGATAATCTCGTTCCGCGGAAAGAACATCTATTTATAATAGGACTCATAAGTTCCAATGATGATTTTTAATAATCGGATGTAGAACTGGATTCCTGAAAAAAACGCGGTCGTGTTTGACACGTTTCTTGTTGCTGGAAAGATCTTTTCAATTATGATGTCTTAACTTTTGAACGTAGTACAATAAACATAACAGCCTGTGTTAAACGCAGATTGTGAATAAACTTTAGAAGCATTTCAAAATGTATTTTTGAATTGTTTATTGTTTATTAATTATTTTTGTGCAGTGTGTGTTTAAGAGATAGAGGGAGAAAGAGAGAAAAAAACAGAGAGTGAGAGAAAAATCTAGTTGTTTAAAAAATTGCTCGTTTCCATCGATTTCCTTTTCATGTATTCAATACGTGTGTGTGTGTGTGTGTGTGTGTGTGTGTTTGAGGGAGAGAGAGAGAGAGAGAGAGGAGAGGTTGGCTTTGTTCGGCGGCACCCACCCCAGTAGATTCAGAACCAATTTGTTTTTGTTGATGTCGTCTAATAGGGGAAATTCCAGTCATCCAATGAATATTTCAGATATTTCATCCAGCTTTTCCACTGCCAATACAATACTTTGTTTTCTCGTAAAAGTACAAAATTATTTCTAATTGGATATGTGAAGAAGTGGAAAAACAGTATTAAGAATTGCGAACAGTTAATGTACGTAAATAGAAAACCTGTATGTACACTCTAAACAATATTATAAAATTCATCATCCACAAGCTGCAGGAACGGTCTTCTTTATTAATACACTGATGCTGAAAATTTTGTACACTTTTATTTATAATTATTTTTTTCAATTTTCGCAAAATTCGCACAGTAGCTGTGTGCGTTTTATGGTGTAACCCTGTAGTTTTTACTTGCAGACTTTGCCATATAATACCCTGTTCCTGAAGACCCTGCCATATCTTACGCCGTGCTTTGTTCCTGCAATAACAGTTCAATTTTTTCATCCAACTTTTCCACTGCCATCTCCATATCTCGCTTTTCCGTAAAATTACCACCCATTTCTAAGATGAAATAAAACAAATGTGAACAAAACAGCAATGTTCTGTGATAGATAACGCAACCTAAACTCAAACTGATACTGAAAACTAATAATAATTACACCATGCCTTGCATCTCCTGGTCACCTGCAGACTATGACATGAGCGATAACTATTTGTCAAATTGAGTAAAATATACCTATGGCTATAGCACTTACACGTCTGGGTTTGCCATATGAAACACATTTTGAGGCCATCTTAGATTTTAAAATGGCAATTGAAAGATCGAGTATTAATTACATCTAAATACAAAAACGATCAGGTTTCCCTGGCCCGTTAGTTGAAACTGTGAACATACGAGGGTTGATTGATAAGTAGTGAGCCTCGTGTGGAAGGGGTTAAGCAGGGATATCCCTTTTCAGCCCTTCTATTCTCTGACTATTTAAAGGTGTGTAGCCGAAGTTTGGTGTAATTTGGTTAGTTTATGTCGACGAGGTAGCACTCTCAAATAAGCAAGGCAAGTGACTTTTGCAAAATGCCCCTGCTCACAAGTCTGTCGTTGCCATGGCTGCAATCAACGAGTGTGGCTTTGAACTGATAGAACATCCACCTTATTCGCCTGATCTTGCTCCCTCTGACTATTATCTATTTCCCAAATTGAAAAAGGCCATTTCAGGTACTCACTTTGTGTCAGATAATGACGTCATACGTGAAGTGGAGGGGTTTCTGAACGGCCAAGAGAAGGGCTTCTATAAAAGTGGCATAGAGGCTCTCAAAACTCGCTGGCAAAAGTGTATAGATACTCAAGGAGACTATGTTGAAAAATAAAGAAAAATACTTGTAAAATGTGTACCCCTTCTATATGAGGCTCACTACTCATCAATCAACCCCCGAATCGCTTCTCACCCCATACCTAAACAAGAAACAATGTTTCAAATTTCTGTTGAAAAATGACGAGCTTGAGGCTGTGAATATTATTGGGCTTTCATATGAGAACAGACGTTGATTAATTAATCACGCAAACGAAGTAAAAAAAACAACAACAATGTACAGAATTTGCTTACAATGAATGGGACAGGGATTGTCATTGGAACAGCTGATGTTCCTCCCTTCAGCCGTTCACCGGTAATTTCAAAGGGGGTTTTAGCATAAAAGACCAAAATTCACTTGAATTTAGTGAATACTCAATGCATTTTACCTTTTTACCTTAAATAAATTAGCTTGAAATATTTATCATACCCTTTATTGATGTTTTCCTTTTACTTTTAAATTAATCTATCTATCTATCAGTTGATGTAGGCCTATTCAAAATAAATCAAATAATCTTTATAACTTGACATGTCAATATGTCTTTTCCAACTCCTGTTTATAAGCACACATAAAACCAGCTAAGTTGTTAATTAAAATGAGGAGTTACTCAAGAGCCACTTGAGACGAGTCTAGCTGTAATATTGCACAAGCACTTGCCTCCCCTGCCCCAAGCTTTGGGTGCATAAACCCCACAGCAATGTGGGAGCGCAAGTTAGCAACTTAAAGAAAGTTATCAGATGAAAGGCAACCAGAATCATGCCTCTAGGTAATTGCTCCTATTTATGGCTTGCCAAAGCCAGTAACAAAATCTTCCTCATCAAGACCTGTAAGATACGAGACTGAACGCTGTGCATCAACAGCTAAATTATATTCTTTACTGTTCAGGCATTAAAAGTGAATTATCTTTGAAGACCCAACGTATCAATTCACAACGAAATAATAAATTATTAGCGCAAACTTTGGATTCTATATCAAAAGAATTAAGAACGTTTTAAATGAATCAACCAATAAGGAGGTACTTACGTGTTTTATTGATAAGTTACAATTTTAATGAACTTCTATGAATTTTAAATGCAGTAGCACGGGTTTTAGTCTCTCATAACCCTAAGTAGGGTGGGTTTTATTTATTTAAAATGTGAGACGTTAATAAAATTATTATTATTATTATTATTATTATTATTATTATTATTATTATTGTAGAGATTCCATACAAATTTAAATTGCGCTCTTCTTTTTAGGGCGTATGATAATTACACAATAAACAACTGGCCAGACTTGTGCATTTATAATTAGCGTCAAAAATTTGAATTATAGCATAATAAATTCAATATGTAATATAGAACACACAATTTCACATTTGTTTAGTGAAATCTGCCTGTCGCAATACATTTCGTTTGAGCACGCATTTTCATATTTAATATATCATCAATTAATACTGCAGTGTGTACTGTATAACGAGGTTAGTAATGATTAACGGGAAAAAATAAATGATTCACTTATTTTAATATTCTCTACATGAACATTTTAGGGCATAACATTTAAGATATGATATGATTTTTAAACACCATTGACTCCTGATTGTTCACCTGCTAGGATATGCCCAAATGAAAAAGATATTTTTGGAAGATACTGTATTTATTACTTTGGAATTAACGACTGGAAGTGGTGTCAACCGCCCTTGTTTGTCTTTTGACAGCCATAGAGACATCATCAGCGATTGAATAACGCGCATAAATATTGTGAAAATTAACATTCTTCTTACTTGAATAAGTCGGAGAGGAGGATAAAAGAGTTGAGACGCCCCGTGTCACACTGCTTCCTGACCGTGGACGGGTTCACAGCTGAAAGTTAAGGAGGAATAGTTGGTGTAGTCAACTTGAGGTGTCGACCAGAATGTTATCTATTTTGAGGTTTACACTCTATTTCTTAAGATGCAAGTGAATGGGGAGTTGAAGGAGTTAAGGGGGTTAAGTCGATACTGTCCTCTACTGGTTAGGAACCGGTGTGCGGGAACATTTATATAGCCTGGACAATATGTCCTCACTAGTAAAGAAAGAGACAATTAACATGGTCTGATATCATTTGAGTTGGTATTCAGTTCATTACGAGGATGAAAAAGAGAGTGATGAATACTGCAAATTTAATGCATAACTTTGACAGCCTTTCACATGATTATCTTTTTAGTATGAGTACATGTATACGATATTTAAATACTTTGATTGCTGAATAAAATAAAATAAAATTCGTTTTCTGAGAAGACAGGAAAACCATTAAATAATAAATGACATTGTTTTCAGATCACAATGAAGATCATATTCATGTTCCTGGCGCTGGTGGGCGCCACATACGCTCAACCTAATTTATCGAGAGGTAAGTTTTGGGGAACTAGCTGGCAAAAGCCGTTTTCGCTTAAAAATTGATCATCAAAACGAGCAGAACGCTTTTTCATGCTACCAAGTAATATTATAATACAGTCAATGAAGCTATATATATATATATATATATATATATATATATATATATATATATATATTATTTATATATATATATTTCCAGAGGAAGCGAGAAACGATGCCTGGTTGACAAACCGGATGTCTCACAAGGTGTCGCCTACGTCACAGATCTCGATTGCGCATTTTACTGGCAGTGCGACTTCGCTAACGTCCTCCTGAAAAATGTCACCCTAAAACAATGCGCTATCGGATCGTTATGGGCATCCTTGGCATATGTAGAAACCCCACCAGCACCGGGCCAGGAACCCGTCTCAACTGTGAGAATCAGCCCGATCCTGAATGTCGAGCGAAGTACCTCCCCCTTGGGACGAAACCACAGTGCCCCTTGCGTATGTATCACTTTGTGCTATATGTTTATATCACAAAGAGAAATGGTTTCTACTGAAACCGACTGGTGTCATATTTTAAAAAAATATCTCGTAATTTTGAGGTAGTATTTTGAAGTTTCGAGATATTTTTTTAACATGACACCATTCGGCTTCCGTAGGTTTCACTGGTTCCACATAGTGAATTTTCTGATTATTCTCTCTGCAGGCCATTTGCTATGGAGGAATTAATAGCAAAAATATATATAAATATACAAATAAATGAATAAAATTGGAAATTAAAAGTTGACATCATCAAACTGCTCTCTGGTAGCGAGTGCATTTGAACCAATGCCAACAAAAATATGACTTTTCTAACTTTTTTTAAAGAGAGTCAAATTGTGATGGATTTTTATGATATTCAATTACGAAACAATTTTTTTATAGATTTTGACACATATCTTTTCATTTGATTATTATTACATTTACCTTGGTGGTGATCCCTGCTCGGGGTGATTGATCCATATTATATTATATCATATTATATTATATTATATTACAACGGTATATATTATATTATATTATATTATATTATATTATATTATATTATATTATATTATATTATATTATATTAGATTAGATCCAACAGATCCACCTACTACAACAGAAGCAAAACCGCCTCTTGGAAAGAGTAAGTTTATGTCATTTCATTAAATTGCTTATTAGTCAATCTGAGAATTAATTCGTTCAATTAGTTAAATAGCCATACAATGGGCATTAATTTGAAAACACTTTATCACTGTGACGTACAATGACGTCACATACGGTTTTAAGTGGAGGAGATTAGATCATATCTGTTTGATATATATATATATATATATATATATATATATATTGGTATTATACATGTTCATTAACGGTGGCTGCATTTATTTCAGACAATTGTACTGGCTATGGTTTGGGGTTCCAAGAAATTCTAGGAGAAGAAAGCAAAGTATGGTACCTAAACGCAAATCAAACATACGGCTGTGGACATCTTATCTTTTACTTTGACCCATTAGTATGTGATTGCGCCGCGGCAGGAAAGTTAAATGGATATGTATTATTACGGATACATAAATCGATAAAGGATAGTGTTATCAATATTTGTGATACTTACTTAACAACTTTTTAGGAAAACTTTAAGAAACAACAAAGGATCTAGAATGGTTTTCATTACACTATGCTGCAGGTCTCTAGATAAAGCACAAACGTCAACTTCTGCTAACGGAGCAGAATGTTGTTATCGGAGTTGCATCATGGTTATGGCATCTCCAGTTATTCGCAAATAATGACGAAATTTTGAGGATAATCACTTCATTAAAATGGAAAAAATGCAAAAAATGCAAAAAATGTGATAAACCTGAGCACACTGCCACCTATAATTCCATGTGTCGTTTGTCCCTTCCCGAGAAATATTGAACTGCAGCAATTTTGTAATTATGTGTGAATACAGACTTTGATATGCAGGCATGTTTCTTCATTATGACATTCTGTCCTTCAACCACTTCAATATAATAGAACTAACATATAAGCAGGTGACCATATAATGTTTGGCGGCAATATATATTGGAATTTTCAGATATGTCCCTATTTCTGAAGGTACTCAGAATACTATTATCATAATTGTACAAAATCCCATGCTTACAATAAAAAGAGGAAGCGCTAGTTAGCAGTCTGAAGAGTTTACCTTCGGTTAATTGCTGTTTTACTACAGTATTATGTCTAAACTAGTAACAAACCCTTCCTTATCAAAAATCTAGTTTAAAAAACTCAACGTTGTGCATTTACAGTTCACTACAGAGTTCACTATATTGTTCATACGTTTAAAAATAATATCTTCAAAGACCTGGAGTATCAATTTGTTCGTGCAAACTCTGGATTCTATCAAAAGAATTAAGAGCGTTTAAATGAATCAAACAATACAGATAACGTGATTTCTCAGGCTCAAATGTTCCGTAACCACCGATGATAGAGTCATTAAAATTTATGTATATTATTTGAAAGAAATACAGAAACGACCAGGTCTCTCAAAATCGAAATACTAACCTTATTGAGCACTTGCGGCATGGGTTGGGTCACATGGTGTACAGGAGAACAAATCAACCCTCTTAATGGTCTGGACTGACTCTGTTAAGCTTCCAAGACAGAACGGGACGATTAAACTAAAAACAGATCCGTGGCTGTTTTTATACTTATACATCGCCGCTTGCATAAGATAATGTCGGTAAGCGGCAGTTAGGACGATGTATGACACCTTTCTTGGAAAGAGTCCGATGCAAATTTATTAGGTGCAGACTTGGTGAGTTGGGTGGAGTCTTTTCAGTTTTACTGACGTTTTTACATTTATGGAAATTGCTGTGGTGCATAACATTGAGCTTAGGCGTGCATATTCAAAATTTGAATAGATGATAGAAATGAGGAAATCTGTGATGCGGTGCTTTTTTTGTAAGTCATGTAAGATATGGCTTCGGAATAAATGTTACAATTTTCAGATTTCATCTTATTATTTCCAAACCAAAAACAAATTAAGGATGGGACAATTATTGAACTAGTTAAAATTATAAGAAGCACTTTGAATAGATGCAAATTTAAGCCTGATATTGTCTAACTAGGTATCTATCCTTTAAAAGAGCGACGAGTAATGCTGTATGTTATTGTATATGGTTAACAAAAAATGTCATTGTGTATATTTGGCACAGCCCCCCTCAGCTCTCTCTCTCTCTCTCTCTCTCACACACACACACACACACACACACACACACAATCTCACAAACACACACACACACCTCTTTCTCTCCATCCTCATTCCTCTATTTTCTTTTTGTGCAAACACACGTGTGCCCCCGCACACATGCATCCCTCTCTCTCTTTATCTGTATCTCTCGCTATCACACGCGCGCACACACACGCATGCATGCACGCAATGTGCTTAATATAAGGAGGGCGTGTGCGTGTACCGGGTACTCCTAGACAGGTACCATGCAAATTTAAATCGCCATGTACTTTTCAAAGATTGGGCGTTATCGTGGATTTACACAATAATCAACTGAAGAGTTAATGCTTAATTCATGTGCCTAAAAATAATATAATGTCAAAAAAACTGAATTATATCATAATAAATGTCATTCATAAAGCAAAATATCCTGTTGCCTCGCCCTTATGCAATATGCAATGACAAAATTCAAATTTGGTTTATGAAGTCTGCCTGTCGCAGTACATAAAGTAGGAGTACAAGTAGGTGTTTTCATTTCTATTATATCATAACATATAAACTGCAAGGCGGATAAACTGTTGGAGACATTTATTTTCACATCATTGCGGGTTAAGTCAACGTTTCACTAATAAACATATTTATTTTCTGTATGTGAAAAAAAAACTTAAAACAACAGGTAATGAGCTCAATTTAATATAAGGTCATATTGTTTGAGATATAATTTCATAAAATTAAAAGGATGACACTACTGACACCTGTTTGTTAGCCATAATTTAAAATTATTAGCACATTATTCAAAAAACCGCATTAATTACTGAGAAATTAACAATTGAAATCGGTGTCAGCCGTTCATGTTTGTCTTATGACAGCCATAGAGACATCATCAGCGATTGAATAACGCGCATAAATATCGTGAATATTAACATTCGTCTAACTTGAAAAAGTCGGAGAGGAGGATAAAAGAGTTGAGACGCCCCGTTAGACTGTCACACTGCTTCCTGACCGTGGACGGGTTCACAGCTGAAAGGTAAGGAGGAATAGTTAGACCAGACAACTTGAGGCCTCCGCCAGAGCCGTATCCTTACTTTTTAAATGTAATTAAAACATTATTGGATGGAGAGCTGGAGGAGAAAAGGGGAATAAGGATAATGTTTATGTTGTCTAACTAGTAATGAAATAAAAAAAAAAATAACAAGAGTTGATTTCATGTAAAAACGTATAAATTTCAGTACACAATCAATTATGTTGTTTAAATAATGAATGCTGCAAATTTAAGGTAACAATTTGGTGGGGTTTATTTTTCCTTTTAATCTTCTGAGTGTGAGTACGATATGTCTAATTAGCTTAATGAATGGGAGATTGTTTAGATATTTACGTTTTTAGTTTTCAGAACAGGTTAAACATGTTATATTAAGAGTGGTGAATCTTTCTTGGTTAACCATTGATTAACTGCTTTACATAAGTTTTTTTTTTTTTTTAGAAATCTGCCCGCTTTGTAAGTAACTGTTTTTAAAAACAGAAATAAATTGAAGTTGTGTCTGTTTGTTTACTTTCAGTGAAAATAAAACCATGTCTAACTGAAACAAATCTATTTGATTTCAGATCACAATGAAGATCATACTAGTGTGCCTAGCTCTGCTCGGCGCTACTTATGCTTATCCACATTTACCAATTGGTAAGTTTTAAAGATCCAGTGAATATTATGATAGAGCCAAACCTGACCAGTTACTGCTTTGAAAGCTGACTCTCTTTTGATTTTTTTTTTTTCTTTTTTTTTTTTTTTTTTTTTGGATGAAATGCTCAAGGCTCTCAGTGTTTGATCATGATCATGAGAAGTACACAGTTGTATTCCAGAATTACAATATTTACAATGTTTGTTTTAATACTGATAAATAAATTACAACATTTACAATGTTTCTTTTAATATTGATAAATGAATATAAAAATGTAAATTAACATGACCCATGTTTTTTTTAAGATGAAGTCAAGCAACGATGCCTTATTGACAAACCGGACGTGTCACAAGGTGTCGCCTACGTCTCGGACTCTGACTGTGCCTTTTACTGGCAGTGTGACTTCGCCTACACCGTACTGAAGAATGTCACCCTCAAAATGTGTCCCGTCGGAACGTTGTGGGCCAAGATCGGGGTTTTAGCAAACCCACCATTACCGGGTGAGGAACCCGTCGTTTGTGTTAACTGTGCGCAGCAGCCGGATCATGAATGTCATGTACAGTACCCGTACGGGTCCAAACAGTGTCCAAATGGTATGTACAGTATCACTTTCAAGAGCTTTTATGTCTTTATTTATCTTATTTTTATTTTAATATTTATTTATTTCATTTTGGGGAAAAAAGATAATATTATTGTGATAAAGTTCTTAAGATAAGCAGAGAGTTAAAAGGAAAATTAATTGATTACGCTATTCAGCTTGATCCGAGTTTCTTAATAGTTTTAATACATATATCATTAAATATATGATTATTATTACATTTTGCCTTCGTGGAGGTTCGTGCTCTTGGGACGCGATTTTCTTATATTATATTATATTATATTATATTATATTATATTATATTATATTATATTTCAGACACAACACCTGCACCTACTACAACGGAAAAACCACGACCTCTCGGAGATAGTAAGTTTATGTTGTTAAGTTAACTCATGAAATAATCAGGATCTTATTTGACCATTTTGCAGGTATTACTTATTAAAACTCAAATGATTTTCTTTTATCTGATTGATATTTCAGGCAGAGGAGTAATCTATTTTCATGGGTACATGTACCTTTACAGATCTGGTCTCAACTAAAAAAACTTACGTGTATTTCAAAGCATTAAACTGATACTCACGACCGAAATCATTAAAGTAGTGTTTGATCATTATGCGGCATCTTTTCGACTCTTGGTTCCGACTTGGCGGGAACTGCAACACCTCTGCCATCTGTCGGTCTAACTAATGCGTTACTTATGAAGATTTTATTTCTTATGTTAAAATTATTCCAGAGATTTGTAGACTTGAGCCTCAGAATTTGGTGTTCCAAGAAATCGTAGGAGAAATAAGCGAAGTTTGGTATTGGGGAGCGAATGAAACATTCAGCTGTGGACATCTCATCTTTAATTTTACGAAATGTGAATGCCAGGCTGCACGTGAGTTTTTTGGAATATGTTTTTCAACGAGTGCGCTCGATTACCGCTTTCCGTTTAAATGATGTATTAAGGAAACAACAACAGTGACCGGTTGTATTTTTACACCAGAGATTCAAAATCACAAATAGGCCTACCTTATAACTTCTGACAACGAAGTAGGTTGTTGATATCGGAATTGAATTATAAGCATGGCATTTCCAGTTATTCGTAACGCAAATTTCAGGAAAGTCACTTAATTTGGAAGGCAAAGAGTGGTTATAATTTCATCTGAATTCAAGTTTCCTTATATTTTAGAATGGTTCTAATTATTATTTCGCAGTCCGAAAATTGCCCTTGATTTGATTTCTTGTTCAATTTAAAATGCAATGTGCATCATTTCCCCACCTCTTCCTCGGGTAATTCATGACAAATGCAGTGGTTCTGGGTTGTATAAAGATTGATGTGAGATTTCAATATATTTATTTTGGACATCCGCACAGTGCTTTTATAAAATTATATTTCTGCTATTATTTCAGCTGAATTCCCACTTTGGTGGCCATTTGTTGTGAAAAAAAATCTTATTGTGTTGCGTTGGAGAAATTGCTTTGAATCGCTCTCTTGTTTAGTTTGAATTAAACTCTGCGTCATTTGTTCGGATGATTAATAGCTGAAGAAGTGATTTGAAGGTATATAAAGATTGATGTGTGATTTCATAAAAAAATTGGTCATTTTCTCCAGGTTTTCATATGTATTATTTCTACTATCATTTCAGCTGAGTTTCCAGCTCGGTGGAATTTTAATGTGAACTTGAACTCGGACAACAACAGACTTTACGCCGCCAACGAACCAGTGGGCACAGTAGGTTTGTCGGTAATAGAGCCAGGATGCGCCGAGTTTAATGGATCAGGTATGGGGATGTCTTCTTTGTTAATCTTTCTAGATTGGATTTTATGAACACAATAATAAAATGCAAATCATTTATGTATTTATTTATTTATTCAAAATACGTTTTACTTTAATTTGTTTATTATATTGTAAGGCCTTAGCATGAATTATCAATACGATTAAAATACTACAGTTTGTAATGATCTCTTATTTTCAAGGCGGACTTCAAATTCCATACTTTAAGAACATGCGTCCTAGGACAAGCTGGGTAACTGCTGTTGTCTTCAACAGAGATCCGCTACAGAACGCTGTTATCCTTTACGAGTGCATTACCATCTTTATATATGATGATGGTACAATCATGGCGTCTGTAGTAGTCCAGAACCCCGAGGGAGTGAAGCAGCCCCTGACTGTCTCAGTTACGGTATGTTAATTCAGATATCTCACTTTTTGAATTGTATGTTATATGCTCGTTGGTACATTATAATTTTTATTGTTTTATTTGCCATGCACCGCTTCTTTGTACATTGTTCAGTAACACTCAATAACTGTTAGAGAGATCGGACATTTCGTCAACAGCATCTCTTTGACTTGGGCGTGACTTAAAAAGTCCGGGTCATATCCTTAAAACAGTACATTGTACTATCTCCCTGTTTAGTTTATCTATTCATTTTGTCAGTGCTATGTGAACACTATTGAGTAAACGTAAATACGCATGGATTGAACAATGAATGAATAAATAAATATTTTTTTAACTATTTAATAGGTAAACGATTGGATAGTTAATTAGAAGAAAACTATACAATGCGTACTAAGAATTTTGTGTTATTCCAGGTACCAGATCCTGGATATATCATCGTGATATTGATATGGGACGGCAAGACCTTAACCCTCACTGTATACCAAGGAATCAATGTGTACCAGGACTCTGCTACGGTACCAGATGGTATGCATGTCTTAATTATTGAGTCTTATCTTAGATGTGATATTTCATGTTATTACATTGCATAGTTACTAATATATTAAAGGATTGTTATTTTTATAATACAATAAATCTAACAAACAACAACAAGACTACTAAACAATCATCGCTCTACTGCATTCAGCTGACATACATGTATTTTAATTGTGATCTTCAAATAATTGTACGTCTCTTTCTAATGGTACTTCATTGTTAATTATAATGTAAATGGTTTGATGAAAAAATTATGATAATGGATTAGCAGTAAGGGAAATATTAAGTTATTCACTTTGTGTTTTTGAAAAGAAACATTGTAACTCCAGTGAAGCAAATGTCAAATGGTGATAAAATTACGTATGACATGTACATGTAGCCTAGGACTAAAGGACAAAATTTACCAGTTTTCAATTAATTTATGTTCGTATATTTAGAACATATATGTACATATATGCTGCTAACAAAGCCTCACATTTATCAAAACTTACGCTTTGAACAACTTATTATTTCAGATCCCGACAACGATTACATATGGTCACTCGTTTGTTTACCAGCACAGCCACTATTCGTGGGTCACGTGCCGTGGCCGTTCGACGATGATCCAGCTATCCTCGGAAGCTATTCTGGCAATATTTGTTTGGTGAATATCTACGTGTACTATATAGTCAATTGCGGATCCGTGNATTACAACGGTATATATTATATTATATTATATTATATTATATTATATTATATTATATTATATTAGATCCAACAGATCCACCTACTACAACAGAAGCAAAACCGCCTCTTGGATAGAGTAAGTTTATGTCATTTCATTAAATTGCTTATTAGTCAATCTGAGAATTAATTCGTTCAATTAGTTAAATAGCCATACAATGGGCATTAATTTGAAAACACTTTATCACTGTGACGTACAATGACGTCACATACGGTTTTAAGTGGAGGAGATTATATCATATCTGTTTGATATATATATATATATATATATATATATATATATATATATATTGGTATTATACATGTTCATTAACGGTGGCTGCATTTATTTCAGACAATTGTACTGGCTATGGTTTGGGGTTCCAAGAAATTCTAGGAGAAGAAAGCAAAGTATGGTACCTAAACGCAAATCAAACATACGGCTGTGGACATCTTATCTTTTACTTTGACCCATTAGTATGTGATTGCGCCGCGGCAGAAAAGTTAAATGGATATGTATTATTACGGATACATAAATCGATAAAGGATAGTGTTATCAATATTTGTGATACTTACTTAACAACTTTTTAGGAAAACGTTAAGAAACAACAAAGGATCTAGAATGGTTTTCATTACACTATGCTGCAGGTCTCTAGATAAAGCACAAACGTCAACTTCTGCTAACGGAGCAGAATGTTGTTATCGGAGTTGCATTATGGTTATGGCATCTCCAGTTATTCGCAAATAATGACGAAATTTTGAGGATAGTCACTTCATTAAAATGGAAAAAATGCAAAAAATGTGATAAACCTGAGCACACTGCCACCTATAATTCCATGTGTCGTTTGTCCCTTCCCGAGAAATATTGAACTGCAGCAATTTTGTAATTATGTGTGAATACAGACTTTGATATGCAGGCATGTTTCTTCATTATGACATTCTGTCCTTCAATCACTTCAATATAATAGAACTAACATATAAGCAGGTGACCATATAATGTTTGGCGGCAATATATATTGGAATTTTCAGATATGTCCCTATTTCTGAAGGTACTCAGAATACTATTATCATAATTGTACAAAATCCCATGCTTACAATAAAAAGAGGAAGCGCTAGTTAGCAGTCTGAAGAGTTTACCTTCGGTTAATTGCTGTTTTACTACAGTATTATGTCTAAACTAGTAACAAACCCTTCCTTATCAAAAATCTAGTTTAAAAAACTCAACGTTGTGCATTTACAGTTCACTGCAGAGTTCACTATATTGTTCATACGTTTAAAAATAATATCTTCAAAGACCTGGAGTATCAATTTGTTCGTGCAAACTCTGGATTCTATCAAAAGAATTAAGAGCGTTTAAATGAATCAAACAATACAGATAACGTGTTTTCTCAGGCTCAAATATTCCGTAACCACCGATGATAGAGTCATTAAAATTGATGTATATTATTTGAAAGAAATACAGAAACGATCAGGTTTCTCAAAATCGAAATACCTGTACTAACCTTATTGAGCACTTGCGGCATGGGTTGGGTCACATGGTGTACAGGAGAACAAATCAACCCTCTTAATGGTCTGGACTGACTCTGTTAAGCTTCCAAGACAGAACGGGACGATTAAACTCAAAACAGATCCGTGGCTGTTTTTATACTTATACAGCGCCGCTTGCATAAGATAATGTCGGTAAGCGGCAGTTAGGACGATGTAAGACACCTTTCTTGGAAAGAGTCCGATGCAAATTTATTAGGTGCAGACTTGGTGAGTTGGGTGGAGTCTTTTCAGTTTTACTGACATTTTTACATTTATGGAAATTGCTGTGGTGCATTACATTGAGCTTAGGCGTGCATATTCAAAATCTGAATAGATTATAGAAATGAGGAAATCTGTGATGCGGTGCATTTTTTGTAAGTCATGTAAGATATGGCTTCGGAATAAATGTTACAATTTTCAGATTTCATCTTATTATTTCCAAACCAAAAACAAATTAAGGATGGGGCAATTATTGAACTAGTTAAAATTATAAGAAGCACTTTGAATAAATGCAAATTTAAGCCTGATATTGTCTAACTAGGTATCTATCCTTTAAAAGAGCGACGAGTAATGCTGTATGTTATTGTATATGGTTAACAAAAAATGTCATTGTGTATATTTGGCACAGCCCCCCTCAGCTCTCTCTCTTTCTCTCTCTCTCTCTCTCTCTCTCTCACACACACACACAAACACACACACACACACAATCTCACAAACACACACACACACACCTCTTTCTCTCCATCCTCATTCCTCTATTTTCTTTTTGCGCAAACACACGTGTGCCCCCGCACACATGCATCTCTCTCTCTCTCTCTCTCTCTCTCTCTCTCTCTCTCTCTGTATATCTCGCTCACACACGCGCGCACACACACATGCACGCAAGCTGCTCAATTTAAGGAGGGCGTGTGCGTGTACCGGGTACTCCTAGACAGGTTCCATGCAAATTTAAATCTCCATGTACTTTTCACAGATTGGGCGTTATCGTGGATTTACACAATAATCAACTGAAGAGGTAATGCTTAATTCATGTGCCTAAAAATAATATAATGTCAAAAAACTGAATTATATCATAATAAATGTCATTCATAAAGCAAAATATCCTGTTGCCTCGCCCTTATGCAATATGCAATGAAAAAATTCAAATTTGGTTTATGAAGTCTGCCTGTCGCAAGTACATTAAGTACAAGTAAGTGTTTTCAATTCTATTATTTCATAAAATATGTACTGCAAGGCGGATAAACCGTTGCAGAAATTTATGTTCACATCATTGCGGGTAAAGTCAACGTTTCACTAATAAACATCTTTATTTTCTCTATGTGAAAAAAAAACTTAAAACAACATGTAATGAGCTCAATTTAATATAAATTCATATTGTTTGAGATATAATTTCATAAAATTAAAAGGATGACACTAATGACACCTGTTTGTTAGCCATAATTTAAAATTATTAGCACATTATTCAAAAAACCGCATTAATTACTGAGAAATTAACAATTGAAATCGGTGTCAGCCGTCCATGTTTGTCTTATGACAGCCATAGAGACATCATCAACGATTGAATAACGCGCATAAATATTGTGAATATTAACATTCGTCTAACTTGAAAAAGTCGGAGAGGAGGATAAAAGAGGTGAGACGCCCCGTTAGACTGTCACACTGCTTCCTGACCGTGGACGGGTTCACAGCTGAAAGGTAAGGTGGAATAGTTAGACCAGACAACTTGAGGCCTCCGCCAGAGCCGTATCCTTACTTTTTAAATGTAATTAAAACATTATTGGATGGAGAGCTGGAGGAGAAAAGGGGAATAAGGATAATGTTTATGTTGTCTAACTAGTAATGAAATAAAAAAAATAAATAACAAGTGTTGATTTCATGTAAAAACGTATAAATTTCAGTACACAATCAATTATGTTGTTTAAATAATGAATGCTGCAAATTTAAGGTAACAATTTGGTGGGGTTTATTTTTCCTTTTAATCTTCTGAGTGTGAGTACGATATGTCTAATTAGCTTAATGAATGGGAGATTGTTTAGATATTTACGTTTTTAGTTTTCAGAACAGGTTAAACATGTTATATTAAGAGTGATGAGACTTTTTTGGTTAACCATTGATTAACTGCTTTACATAAGGTTTTTTTTTTTTTTTAGAAATCTGCCCGCTTTGTAAGTAACTGTTTTTAAAAACAGAAATAAATTGAAGTTGTGTCTGTTTGTTTACTTTCAGTGAAAATAAAAACATGTCTAACTGAAACAAATCTATTTGTATTCAGATCACAATGAAGATCATACTAGTGTGCCTAGCTCTGCTCGGCGCTACTTATGCTTATCCACATTTACCAATTGGTAAGTTTTAAAGATCCAGTGAATATTATGATAGAGCCAAACCTGACCAGTTACTGCTTTGAAAGCTGACTCTCTTTTGATTTTTTTTTTCTTTTCTTTTTTTTTTTTTTTTTGGATGAAATGCTCAAGGCTCTCAATGTTTGATCATGATCATGAGAAGTACACAGTTGTATTCCAGAATTACAATATTTACAATGTTTGTTTTAATATTGATAAATGAATATAAAAATGTAAATTAACATGACCCATGTTTCTTAGATGAAGTCAAGCAACGATGCCTTATTGACAAACCGGACGTGTCACAAGGTGTCGCCTACGTCTCGGACTCTGACTGTGCCTTTTACTGGCAGTGTGACTTCGCCTACACCGTACTGAAGAATGTCACCCTCAAAAAGTGTCCCATCGGAACGATGTGGGCCAAGATCGGGTCTTTAGCAAACCCACCATTACCGGGTGAGGAACCCGTCGTTTGTGTCAACTGCGCCCAGCAGCCGGATCATGAATGTCATGTACAGTACCCGTACGGGTCCAAACAGTGTCCAAATGGTATGTACAGTATCACTTTCAAGAGCTTTTATGTCTTTATTTGTCTTATTTTTATTTTAATATTTATTTATTTCATTTTAGGGAAAAAAGATAATATTATTGTGATAAAGTTCTTAAGATAAGCAGAGAGTTAAACGGAAAATTAATTGATTACGCTATTCAGCTTGATCCGAGTTTCTTAATAGTTTTGATACATATATCATTAAATATATGATTATTATTACATTTTGCCTTCGTGGAGGTTCGTGCTCTTGGGACGCGATTTTCTTATATTATATTATATTATATTATATTTCAGACACAACACCTGCACCTACTACAACGGAAAAACCACGACCTCTTGGAGATAGTAAGTTTATGTTGTTAAGTCAACTCATGAAATAATCAGGATCTTATTTGACCATTTTGCAGGTATTACTTATTAAAACTCAAATGATTTTCTTTTATCTGATTGATATTTCAGGCAGAGGAGTAATCTATTTTCATGGGTACATGTACCTTTACAGATCTGGTCTCAACTAAAAAAACTTACGTGTATTTCAAAGCATTAAACTGATACTCACGACCGAAAACATTAAAGTAGTGTTTGATCATTATGCGGCATCTTTTCGACTCTTGGTTCCGACTTGGCGGGAACTGCAACACCTCTGCCATCTGTCGGTCTAACTAATGCGTTACTTATGAAGATTTAATTTCTTATGTTAAAATTATTCCAGAGATTTGTAGACTTGACCCTCAGAATATGGTGTTCCAAGAAATCGTAGGAGAAATAAGCGAAGTTTGGTATTGGGGAGCGAATGAAACATTCAGCTGTGGACATCTCATCTTTAATTTTACGAAATGTGAATGCCAGGCTGCACGTGAGTTTCTTGGAATATGTTTTTCAACGAGTGCACTCGATTACCGCTTTCCGTTTAAATGATGTATTAAGGAAACAACAACAGTGACCGGTTGTATTTTTACACCAGAGATTCAAAATCACAAATAGGCCTACCTTATAACTTCTGACATCGAAGTAGGTTGTTGATTTCGGAATTGAATTATAAGCATGGCATTTCCAGTTATTCGTAACGCAAATTTCAGGAAAGTCACTTAATTTGGAAGGCAAAGAGTGGTTATAATTTCATCTGAATTCAAGTTTCCCTATATTTTAGAATGGTTCTAATTATTATTTCGCAGTCCGAAAATTGCCCTTGATTTGATTTCTTGTTCAATTTAAAATGCAATGTGCATCATTTCCCCACCTCTTCCTCGGGTAATTCATGACAAATGCAGTGGTTCTGGGTTGTATAAAGATTGATGTGAGATTTCAATATATTTATTTTGGACGTCCGCACAGTGTTTTTATGAAATTATGTTTCTGCTATTATTTCAGCTGAATTCCCACTTTGGTGGCCATTTGTTGTGAAAAAAATCTTATTGTGTTGCGTTGGAGAAATTGCTTTGAATCGCTCTCTTGTTTAGTTTGAATTAAACTCTGCGTCATTTTTTCGGATGATTAATAGCTGAAGAAGTGATTTGAGGGTATATAAAGATTGATGTGTGATTTCAAAAAAAAAAAAATTGTCATTTTCTCCAGGTTTTCATATGTATTATTTCTACTATCATTTCAGCTGAGTTTCCAGCTCGGTGGAATTTTAATGTGAACTTGAACTCGGACAACAACAGACTTTACGCCGCCAACGAACCAGTGGGCACAGTAGGTTTGTCGGTAATAGAGCCAGGATGCGCCGAGTTTAATGGATCAGGTATGGGGATGTCTTCTTTGTTAATCTTTCTAGATTGGATTTTATGAACACAATCATAAAATGCAAATCATTTATGTATTTATTTATTTATTCAAAATACGTTTTACTTTAATTTGTTTATTATATTGTAAGGACTTAGCATGAATTATCAATACGATTAAAATACTACAGTTTGTAATGATCTCTTATATTCAAGGCGGACTTCAAATTCCATACTTTAAGAACATGCGTCCGAGGACAAGCTGGCTAACTGCTCTTGTCTTCAACAGAGATCCGCCACAGAACGCTGTTATTCTTTTCGAGTGCATTACCATCTTTATATATGATGATGGTACAATCACGGCGTCCATAGTAGTCCAGAACCCCGAGGGAAAGAAGCATCCCCTGACTGTCTCAGTTACGGTATGTTAATTCAGATATCTCACTTTTTGAATTGTATGTTATATGCTCGTTGGCACATTATAATTTTTATTGTTTAATTTGCCAAGTACCGCTTCTTTGTACATTGTTCAGTAACACTCATTAACTGTTAGAGAGATCGGACATTTCGTCAACAGCATCTCTTTGACTTGGGCGTGACTTAAAAAGTCCGGGTCATATCCTCAAAACAGTACATTGTACTATCTCCCTGTTTAGTTCATCTATTCATTTTGTCAGTGCTATGTGAACTCTGATGAGTAAACGTAAATACGCATGGATTGAAAAATGAATGAATAGATAAATATTTTTTAAACTATTTAATAGGTAAACGATTGAATAGTTAATTAAAAGAAAACTATACAATGCGTACTAAGAATTTTGTGTTATTCCAGGTACCCGGGCATGGATATATCCTCGTGATCTTGACGTGGGACGGCAAGACCTTAACCCTCACTGTATACCAAGGAATCAATGTGTACCAGGACTCTGCTACGGTACCAGATGGTATGCATGTCTTAATTATTGAGTCTTATCTTAGATGTGATATTTCATGTTATTACATTGCATAGTTACTCATATATTAAAGGACTGTTATTTTTATAATACAATAAATCTAACAGACAACAACAAGACTACTAAACAATTATCGCTGTACTGCATTCAGCTGACATACATGTATTTTAATTGTAATCTTCAAATAATTGTACGTCTCTTTCTAATGGTACTTCATTGTTAATTATAATGTAAATGGTTTGATGAAAAAAATATGATAATGGATTAGCAGTAAGGGAAATATTAAGTTATTCACTTTGTGTTTTTGAAAAGAAACATTGTAACTCCAGTGAAGCAAATGTCAAATGGTGATAAAATTACGTATGACATGTACATGTAGCCTAGGACTAAAGGACAAAATTTACCAGTTTTCAATTAATTTATGATCGTATATTTAGAACATATATGTACATATATGCTGCTAACAAAGCCTCACATTTATCAAAACTTACGCTTCAACTTATTATTTCAGATCCCGACAACGATTACATATGGTCTCTCGTTTGTTTACCAGCACAGCCGCTATTCGTGGGTCACGTGCCGTGGCCGTTCGACGATGATCCAGCTATCCCTGGAAGCTATTCTGGCAATATTTGTTTGGTGAATATATACATCTTCTACATAGTCAATTGCAGATCCGTGTTTTTTCT